GCAGGAATGGAAAACGTAAGGAATCTGTCTCTTAAAAGATTAGCTGGAAAATCAGGAACACTACTGTATTATTCCTAGATTTAGAAGCAGGTTTGAGTTAGTGATTGGAGTGGAGGAGACAGGGACTGAGGAGTCAGGGAACCTGGGCTCCTTTCCCAGTGTTGCCTTGTAACTGTGACTTCAAGCAAGTCCCTAGGGACACTTCTCAGTTTGACTTCTGACTTGTGTCTCAAGTAGAGGCAACCATCTCACCCATTATGTCCCTCAGAAGACTAGATAATACAGCGGCCATATTCCTGGGCAGTAGTGGTGACACTACATCATTTATCCCAGTGCTGAATTCTTGGATATTGGATGGGTTTTTCCTGTACACTCGCGCTGCCCCCAGCGGTAATGTTCCTGCCTGTAGGGACTTTCCACATTGAAGGCCCTTCCGGATCACTGGAGCATCCTTCAAGAATGAATGTGAAGGGGCAGCCTTGAATGGCACAAGACCTTTAGGGCATCAGCACCACAACCTCACTCCCCACCTCTTATCCAGAATCACAGGGACAGCTGGGAGCCTGACTGTGCTCCTCCTCTTGCCCTCTGATTTGTACCATCTCCGAGTGACAGCAGGCTGGCTCTCCACAGGTCTGTGATGGCAGTCCAGTGCATCTCTCCTTATTGCCCGTACATGGTGCAGAGCACTGAGTGACAAGCCCTTGGTGTAATTACCCCCCCTCCAGAGAGGAGGCAAGAAGGTTCAGTCACGTGCTGGAGACTCAGAGTACCTCTGGTTATGGGGGCTGCCCTGCTCTCCTCTATTAGAAGGCTGTCCTCCCTCAGCCTTCCTCACCATACTGGGCCCCCAGAGGGAGCACAACGGCTCCTCAGGGCAGCTTAAGCCTTACAGGTGTCCTGCATGGCCCCACCTCTAGGGAACAGGGAGGCCAGTGCTGTGACACTCACGTGTCACAGCTGCATACATCACTGCTTCAGATACACAAACTGATCCATATTCTCTAGAGAAAAAAAAGAGTGCTTCAGAGCACAGATCCAGGACATGCTTATGGACACCAGTCCATATCCCTGGGACCTGCTTTCCTCTCCATGCTCAAGTGGAAGAAAGAGGACTTCGGCCTCACCCACTGGGCCCTGTGAAGGGACCTTGACCCAGTTACAGTTTGTGCTCACTGACACAGGCGACTGTGACTGAGGTGTCTTCAGGCCCTTTGGTGGCCAAGAGGAAGCTTGGTTGTTCTGAGCCCAGCCATCAGGGATGCACTCTTACTTGGCACAGCCCCAACACAACGACCATGCCCCAGCCTGGGGAGCTGCTTTTCTCCCTCAGCTGTAGTGAGAGCCTAAGCTGGAGGGAAGGGCTGAAATGGGTGGGTCTGCAGAAGGGTCCCTGGGGCTTATGATGGTATGGGTAGAGCAGAAACAACACCACCACCCCAGTCCCTGCGACACCTCCCTCTCCATAAATGGGGTAGATGGCTAGCCCCTTTCCTCCCTCCCGTCCCCCCTCTTTTCTTCTCTCCCAAAGGTCACCTTCAGCAGGGAGGCAGCATACCCCAGGACCAGAGACATGGGGAAGGGGCGGAGCGTCACGCTTAGCCCTGTAATGCCTGGCAGCCCCCTCCAGCTGCTCAGTGCAGGCTGAACCCAGCCCAGAGGCTGCAGCGGGGAAGCCAGGCAGTCCACGGCTGGCCGGCAGTGCTGCGCTGCTGGAGAAGGTGAGAGGCTTGGTATGGACGGGGAGGGAGTGTGGGAAGACAAGTTATAGCCGTGGGCAGGATGAAGGAGACAGGACAGGCACCAGAAAAGGGCAGCCACCTCTCACATACCGGTTTTGCAGACTCTGGCGTAGCATGCTGGCACAATGTGGAGTGCACCCATTTCCCACATCTGGTTGATGGTGAGCTCATCAGGTGGCTCTGCCCCAAAAGGTTGCTTTGTGTCTGGTTGTGTCTGGTGGCATGGTGCTGCGGTACCGGCCAGTTGGTTGGGAGAAGGTTTTGATGTGTCTTGGTCCCGGTGAGATTGCTGCCGATTTCTATCCGAGGAGGCTGCTGCGCGGAGATTGTTGTGTACTGCTTGCTGGGGAGAGGATCACGGGCTCTCTCTGGGGAGGCTGCTAGGTGTTTCTGCGCAAAATGAGCAGTACGCAGTTCTGCTAAGGGGACAGTCATGCGGTTCTCCGCAGTGAGATTAAGCACTAGCCTGCTGACCAGTTTTAGAAAGAAGCTCATAAATCTATCAGCAATAAGGCCAGAAACAACCACTGCAATAATCTGTTCTGATCTCTTGCCTGTATTAAACACAGTTTACACTAGAGTGGACCTTTCAGGGGGAAAAAAAGTGCCATTCTTGAGTTAAAGTTCCAGAGATGGAAGGATATTCTTCCATACTGTTTGATGAGATTTTTAGGGGCACATATTCTTCTTCACAAAATCTGCACTGCAACTGAGGCCTGAAATTGCCTTATTTCAGCTTCAGCTATTGGTTTTATTATAATGCTTTTACTTAGTTTGGAGAGCCCTCTTCAGTGAATTTCTAGTACCCACAAAGGCACATACAGATGATAGAGTCACTTCTTTGCTATCTGTTCAATAAGCTAAAAAGACTGCTCTCCTGGAAGTTTTCCCTGTAGTTGTCAGCCTTGTTGTCTTTCTCATGGTTCCTCTCTGGTTCTTTTTCTGTCAAACTGTGGACACCAGTGCTAGCTTTCTGAACTGTGGTCTTGCTAGTACCATTAAAAAGATAGGAAACATCCAATAGCTAATTCTGTTGACCCCTCTGCTGGCCTCCAAAAGAGTTCATGAAATTTAACCTAGAGAAACTAGGCTTTCACATCAGTTCATTTTAGCATTCAAAAAAATAATAAAAAAGTCAATGAAGAACAATGCAAAGCAGTGCAAATGGGAGGAATGCATTTCTAATAAAAATACAAAATCCACTGGTGCACGATATTCTCAATTCTAGTGCAGAAGTCATTAGCAGGTGGCCAGCTCTTCAGAAATACAGCTTTCCTAACTCAGCTGATTTTCAGAGATTAAATTTCAGACTGTCACAGGGCATCTGTGTATAGGAACCTCTGCAGAAACTAGAGTTTACTGTAAGAGACCCATAGTCTCCGAACAGATACCTTCCTTTGTTATAATCTGTCTTAGTCTATGTGAAGCTGAATGGCTATGTCTATTTCTTTTGTTTACAGTGAAGCTTGTTTTCTTAATTTAGCATCTGGAAAATGCTAGTTTGCCTCTCACTGCCGAAGTTTCCTGCATCTGATACTTTTTGGGCATTCTCTTCAGCAGAGTGAATGCGAAAGTGGAATCTGCAACATCAGTAACCCTTGTACCGTTAGTCTCTTAGATTTGTATGCGTGTCATTAAGATGTGTATCTATATCCCCGCAGATTATTTCTAGTGCAATTCTGTATCATCCTATGTATTAAGGGAGTGACGCTATACCAGATCTATATTTCTGAGTTTATGCAGTGCCCATTTTGTCAGCAAAGCAGCATGAAGAACTTAGATTCATCTGATTAATATGACATTTCATTTTTTTTTCTGTCACTCAATGCCAGACTAAACTCCTGACTTCTCTGGTTGTTTGAAACACTTTTGTATGTGTGTATGTGCATGCACTAGTTTTATCAAGCAATAAATTATCTACCCAAACCCATTTTGTGTCATTTGCAAAGATTTTCCGGATTATTTCAGTGCTTTCTTCTAGATCATTGTCAAAGGTACAAGTATTAGAACAGAGTCAGGGTTTAAGAAAATTAATCAGGTAGGGTGAGGACACCAATAAAATATGACCATTTCCACTGTACTAGGCTTATGTTTAAATCCATTAAAAATGTGTGGCTTATTGATTTTGACCAATGCCAGGATGAAATTGTACAGATAGTTTTTAGGGAATGATCAGTGAATGGGACTTTTCTGACAGGCGCTGTATGAACCAGTACCTGGCTGATAAATGCTGCGAACTCCCACCAATGATTTAGAAGTTGATGGGAAAACCCTGCAGGTAGGGTCCTTACACAGCCATAGACAGAAATGAATGCAGTGGCTTGGTAACGACAGAGACACCAAGTTATCTGAATTACTTGATACATTAAGTCCATTTGAGCAAAATGTGCTGTATTAAAGGCAGTGCAAAAGTATTGAGGTAGAAACAAGACAAGCAACACTCAGAAAGGGACATGAAGGAATTTGCAGTAATTTGGAAAAAACTCTGGAGCCATAATGGACATTTAACATAGTGCAGCTTCTCAGTGTGACATTCCTGCAAAAAGAGATGTTGGGGCCACAGCATGAGCCAGAGGGTAATTCTAGCTGAATGCCTCACAGGAGGCATTGCCCAAGGAGCAGTTGGTGTTTTAACATGGGGGGCAGAAAAAATGGTGAGGCTTCAGAAAAGAGCCATAAAACGGATCTGAGAGCTGGACAAAGGGCCTTGGTTTGAGAATTAGACAGCAAGTTGTTTCAAGGCATTTAACTGAGAGGTGTCTTGATCAGAGAGTTTTTTCAAAACTCAAATGTGACTACAATTTTTAGAAGCATACTTTTTTTAAACTAACTAATGTGGGTACTACATAAGCACAGTGTGCCAGATGGTTTGTGAAAGCTAAGTGAAGTATTGGTTAAATACGTACACTGAGTTTCAGGCTGTACCCTGCTTGTTTTACTCAATCTAAGTAGTATAAAATATGTTCTCACAGGCTGTGGTCATACCTCTAACCACAGTGCTATAACCCTGCAAAAGTCAGGAGAAATATAACGGACACTAAAAAACTCTTTTCTCTAGCTCGGAAACTTCAGCAGTAGGTTAGGTAAATTTGGATTAGGATAGCATATAAATATGTAACAGCAAAAATGTTAACACTGGCTTTTATCCTTGACCAAAGTTTGTCTTTGGATCAAGCCTGCATGAGTTTTTTTAAGAGGTGCCCCAAATGTTGTTGGTTATTTGGTTTGTGTTAAAGCTCTGTAGGTCAGACAAGAAAATGGACCTTACATGCCATACACTCAAGGACATTTTTAATGGAACATCTTTGATATGAGAAGAGGCTGAGACAGCTTGGAAAAGAGAAGGCTCAGAGGGGATCTTACTGGTGTATATAAATACCTGATGAGAGAGAATGAAGAAAAGGGAGACAGACACTTCTCTGTAGTGCTCATTGACAGGACAGGAGGCAATGTGCACAAATTAAAACACAAGGAATTCCATCTAAACACAAGAAAACACCTTTTTTTTTGAGGGGGGGGGTGTTTGTTTGGTTTTAGTTTTATTGTGATGGTAGTCAAACAGTGTGATAGGTTGCTCACAGAGGTTGTGGACATATTATAAACCTGACTGGACACCTTCCTAGATAACCTGCTCAGCTGCCACTGCTTGAGCAGGGAAATTGGGTTAGATGATCTCAAGATGTCCTTTCCAGCCTAAACACCCCTGTGATTCTGACATCGTAGCACTGTCTCTATTATACAGAGATTACACTGTCTTTGGCTCTTGACATGTATGAAGTGCTTTTTTTGCACCAAATATATTTTGGTTAAAGAACCAGAATAATGTTACCTAGACTAAGACATGTATCTCCATAGGCTAGCTCCTCCTGAGCTAGGAAGTTGGGAAGCATCTCCCTGTGGTAGAAAGGATATGAATTTCTTGCTGCTGTAATTGGAGACTCTTTTGGGGAATTAGGGTTTCTCACACATCGACAGCCTGGAACCAGGACCACTAGCAGGGATGAAGCACAGGAAGGACAGTGGAGGAAAGAACAGTTTTGAGAAGGATCGTGCCTGCTGCCTTTAATACAGCACAGACAAATAGTGAGTGCATCCTGGCCAGAGCCTTGGTGGCTTTCTCCCCAGTGCTCGTCACTCTGCAAAGGGCAAATGGCATTCTAGAAGGTTACAGAGGTAGGTGTAGAGCACCCAGGCATAATCTATACAGTGGTGATCCAAATTTGGCCCTCACTTAGCTTGCTAGCTAATGTGGTATCTCAGAGAAAGACTGACAACTTGGGCTATTTCCTTAAGTATGGACTGTGTCCCGTAATCAATCTCCTCAAGGGCAGGAAGGACCAAAGCCTGCAAACTGTTCTGGGCTTCCTTCGTATGGAGCCCTGATCAGACCCACAGAATTGTCACTGTCCCTCGAGGCATTGTACCCATATCCTCTGGCTGATCTGTTTTTCCAAGCTGGTTATTTTGCTTTGGTGCTCTACTCTGTACCCAGACAATCTGCTCTCCCATGACAGTGGGGCCATGCATGGAAGTAAGGATCTTTGCCACATATATTGCAGTTCAGTTGAAATGCGGAGTGGGAGGAAACATGATTTTTAAATTTTTTTAATGTTTTCACATTATGTTTTCACTCCCAAAGCTGGAATGAAAACCAAGAATATAGAGAAGCATATCCTCCCATTCACAAAAGCAAGTTTTCACACTGTAAATAGGAGAGAATTAATGAATCGTATAAAAAAATAGAATAGATGAATCATATAATAAATAATTAAACATAAATAAAACCAGATTAATGAATAGGTATTTGAAAATTATATCATTATTGAATAATGCACTTAAGTGGATGTAGTGAGAAGATTCCAACCTTTAGATAGCACTAACAGCTGGCCAGCCTACAAGGGAAGAAATTTTGTCTGACTCAAGTTTGAGAAATTGTCTGAGAAGACTGTGAACCATTTGCTGACAAGAACTTGTATATGACAATGAATTTGATATAGGAGAAACACTGTCTTACAGGAGAGATATTTTGATATTTTTTCACAAATATATATCTAATGTGTTCTGCAAAAGACAAGCAGACATCTCTCCCATTGTTCCACTCCCTATTTAGCGTGGCTTTAGCCTATCTAATATTAAGGGGAGGTCTATGTCTTTCAAAGGTCTATTACATTCAAAGTTTTTTCTATATATTCCTAGCTAGGAATCTTTAAAAGGCTTCTTCAGCTATTTTTTTTAACACCTAAAATTGGCAAAACCAGTTTGGAAATGTCAGTAGCAGCGTGGGTCTGTTTGCAGGTTCTGTGATGCCCTTGTAGAATTTTGCAAGCTGTGCTGGCTGGGCAGCAAACAGGAGGACATCAAAGCAAAATCTCTAGAATACTTTCCAGACCAGTTTTCCCTGTGAGTCTCTCCCCAGCCTTCCATTCATCCCCTCCCATGCATGCACTTGTTCAATGTTGAGCTCCCTATGGACTGTACTAACTTTGGCTGTTGGCTCTCACACCAAGCCAAGCCAAAGCCTTTGCAGAAAAGTAGGGCAAATTACTTGGTACTTCTGAATTGGATAAGATTTAGCAATGCAGTCAAGAAGAGAAAGGAAGGGAAAGGAAGGGAAAGGAAGGGGAACTCTGCCACAAGTAGTCCGAGTCTCCTGTACAAATTCAGCCTTTTTGTAGCTTTCCTAGGTTTAAATAATTCTGCTGCTAAATTACTGTATTCTTAAGAGTGACCAGATTTAGCAGCAGTGGGGACTGGAAGTTGAAGGAATTGTAATAAACTCTGATCACAGATAGAGCAATCTAGAACCTAAGGGAAAAGATTTTATTCTTTCTTCTCCCACTCATATTGTCAGCATATCATCTTCCTTTTTATCAACGTGAGGTCCTATTCCCTCCCCCAAAAGGTGTCACGTGAGCCAGAATGTTTCATGGGAAGAGATACTGAGTTTGTAGGTGCAGAGGTGAGACGCTGTGGTTTTACACCACAGCTCTGTCTCACTGTACACTATTTAAGACATATCCAAGAATGCTGCAACCCTCAGGCTCTTGAGTTGCATCCCTCGGCTGCGTTAGGCAAAGCGTTACCAGCAGGTTGAGGGAGGTGATCCTTCCTCTCCTCTCAGCACTAGTGAGGCCACATCTGGAGTAGTGGGTCCAGTTCTGGGCTCTCCAGAAAAAGAGAAATGTGGATATACTGGAAAGAATATGGAAAAGTCTGTGAAGATGATTAGGGTACTGGAGCATCTCTCATACGAGCGGGGCTAAGAGAGCTAGGACTTGTTTAACCTTGAGAGGAGAAGGCTCAAGGGGATCATCTTATTGATATGTATAAATACCTGATGGGAAGGTGTAAAAAAGAGCCAGAGTCTTCTCAGTGATATTGAATGACAAGACAAGAGGCAGTGGGCACAGATCGAAACAGAATTTCTATCTCAGTATAAGAAAAAACTTTTTTACAATAGAGGTGATCCAGCAGTGGAGCAAGCTGCCCAGTGCGATTGTGGAGATACTCAAAACCAGACTGGACACAGTCCTGAGCAACCTTCTGTAGTTAACCTTGCTCTGAGCAGGAGGTTGCACTAGGTAATTTTCAGATGTGCCTCCTGATCTTGACCCTGGTTCTGTGACCCTGCTCCAAAGCCAGGAGAAGCTCCCAGCCCCAGAGTGCCTGTGTTCAGAGCAGGGGGAGGTAGTCAGGGGGAGAGTTCTGCCACAAGTGCCTTAAAATGCTGCCTTGTAGCTGGCTGGGAGACTGAAAAAAGCATTTCTCTGAAATGGGTCTGAAGCAGCTGGCTGTAGCTCAAAATGCCATTGATGTCCAAGCTTCCTTCCCGCCTTAGTTTCCTGGCTGCACGGATGAGTGACTTTGGGTTAGAAATGTCAGCAGGCATGTGAGATACTGAGCTCCCTTTGGCTTGCTCGGAGCACACTGCCTCTGATCAGTAATGCCTTTTTTGTCATGGGATAGCTGTGCCTGAGGGGCAAGTCTGTCTCTGCTGCTAGCTGAAGGGCTTTCTTCAATAAGCAGTAGAGGTGGGTTTCTTTGTAGAGAGATGTGGTCTTGCTGCAGTAGGCTAAGGACAGCATGAGGACTGGGTCATGCTTGATAACCTGGGACTCTGTTAATGTTTTGTTTGTTTCCTAACACCTTGGAGAGCAGAATAAGAAGAGGTCTGAAAGGCCAGGCTTTAGTGCAGGCACAGAAAGGTGCTCCATGTTTTTGAAATGAGAGGCTTCAGGGACTACAGTTAGAGAGAGACAAACACCTGTCTGGAGGCCAAAAGGGATTAGAGGGTTGAGGGAGGTTCCCTCCAATACAGGGGCCTTTAATATGATGAGGGATTTGCCCAGAGGTGTACTGTATAAAAGCACAAGCTCAACTCTAGCACAGTTGCGAGAGTGCTTGGGCTCCAAGTGGCAGAAACATGCCCTGCCATGGTAGGGTTTGCATGTCATGTCCAATCTGGTTTTCTCTGTGCATGTTGTGGTTTTCCTGACTCAGGCTGTGGTGTTTCTGCAGCGCTCAGCAATGACCGAGAGCTCAGCTGCGGCAGCGACAGCGGCACCAACCGTGCTAGATGAGCTCCTGGAAATCACGGCTCAGAGCCTGGTGCGCACAGAGGTGGCTGAGCACTATGAGGTTATTCGAGAGCTGGGCAGGGGCAAGTATGGCCACGTGATGCTAGTGACCCACAGGCAGAGAGGTAAGGAACTGGCTGCGCCCTATGAGGTACTGTGCCTTGCTTCCTCTCTATTTGCCAGGGTGCTGGGTGGGCTAGTGGCTCCTTGGGGACAGGTACCAGGCACAGTGGAGGGTCCCCAGGTGATGGCAGGGGCAGCCTCGAATATCAGACAAGGTTATGGTGATGAGGCAGATCCAAAGTCAAGCCAGGAAGTCAATCCACAAGTCAGGATCGATAGGGTTCACAGCCAGACACCAACATGGATGTGATATAGCTGTAAACCAGCACTCCCAACCACACAGCTCAGACAGGGAGTGAAGCCCCAAGCCTGATCTTAAATGGTGCCCTCAGGCCCATGGACAGAGGATGCAAGTAGAGGTCCTAGGGTTGGACAAGGCCATTAAGGCCTATGAGTGCCCAGAAGACCCTGACTCTACTCTTCCCCAGTAGTCCCAGCTCAGACTGATGGACCCATGTAGCCTGAATTTCCCTTCCTCTACCCAGTGCTCCTGTGCATGCACTGACTGTCTCAAAACTCACACCAGCACCGGTGCATGCTCCTAGATCTGGTGACCACAGGTATATCCACACAAAGTGTTGGGCCAGAGACCTCCCTGCAGCTGTGAGTGTCTGGACCCATGGCTGCTCAGTGCCCTCTCTGTCTGATCTTGGTGTGAGTGACTTTCAGGGGAGTCTAACCCACTCTTCCCCATCACCAGGGACTCCCATGGCTCTCAAGCTGCTACCCAAAGCCAGTACCAAGCTGCACACCTTCCTGTATGAGTATTGTGTGGCACTCACCCTTGCCACCCACCCTGCCATCATCAGCATGTTTGGAATTGCCATTGAGTCCAGCCAGTACTATGGCTTCCTCTACGAACCAGCGCTGCACAAAGATCTCATTTCTATCATCAAACCCCGGGTGAGTGCTGCTACGAGGGTGTGGGGATTGGGACTGTACTGTTTGGCTCTGTGCAAGCTGACTGGGTTGGAGGGAGGGACATAAAGACCATGGGCTGTGGGTCTCTCATCTCTGGGGTATACTGTGTTGAAGCAGCTTCAGGTTTGCAAGAACAGAAATGCAAAGGTCTGCCCCAGTGCAGAGCATGCAGGTGAGAGCCTGGCTGGCAGGGCTGCCAAGATGCCCTGCATGTGCCATACTGTCTACCTCTCTCCCTGTGCAGGACGGGACCCCTGAGCCAGCCGCTAAGCAGTGTGCCAAGCAGCTTGTGAGCGCGCTGGAGTTCATCCACAGCCGGGGGCTTGTGTACCGTGATGTCAAGCCTGAGAACGTGCTGCTTTTTGATCCTGAGTGTCGGCGCATCAAGCTGACTGACTTTGGGCTCACGCGGCCCAAGGGTACCAAGCTCAAGCTGGTGGCTGGAGTAATCCCCTACACCGCCCCCGAGCTGAGCAACACCACTGATGCCCAGGGGGTGCCCATTGACACCAGCCTGGACGCCTGGGCCTTCGGCGTGCTGCTTTTCTGCCTGCTGACTGGCTACTTCCCCTGGGAGCAAAGCCTGCCAAATGACCCTTTCTTTGAGGACTTCATGCTGTGGCAGGAGACAGGCCTGGAGGAGAATGTGCCCCGCCACTGGAAACGCCTGACAGCTGAGGCCGCCCTGATGCTGCGGAGCCTGCTGGCCCTAGATCCTGCCAAGCGCAGCCCTGTCGGTGGGGCACTGCGCTATGTCGATTGCCCGTGGCGGCTGGAGGACGGGGGCAGTGAGGAGGCTGCGGTGAAGCCCTAGAACCTGCTCCCCGTGGTGAGAGGGAAGGCAGGTCTCAACATGTGGGGGCCTTCGGGGTCTGGCGCATCACAGTGACCCAGGTGCAAGAGGCCATGGTGACCCAGGGAGCAATATCTCTGCAGCACTATCCCTGCCACCGCAGAGCCAGGCTCCCTCCCTAGCTGATGGTCCTCACCCCATGGCTCAGTGCTGCCCAGTGCCACCTCCTTGTGCTTCCTTGGGGTTTGAAAACATCTCCTTTTTCTTGGAAATGACCGTCCGTGTGTGAAGCACCCACTCGCTTCCTGGCCACAGGGACTGCAGGGTGGTTTCTACAGGCTTCAGCACCTGCCTTGTTCTCCAAATAGAGCAAAATATGTTCTTTTGTGTTTCTGTATGTGGCTTTTTTACCCTTATAATAAAATGGCTGTGGGGGCCTGCTTGCTGTAGGAGAGCAGGGGCATGACAAAGCCTGTGGCCATCTCAGGACAACCTAAGCAAGGCAGGGGCCACCCCTGGCCTCCACCAAGACCCTTGAAGAGTTGCTTCAGGTGGGTGGGGTGAAGGGTTTGGGGTGCTCCCAGAACATGGCTGTGGATGGTAATGTGTGATGGTGCTTAAAAGGTGGTGGAAGCCATAGAGGTGGGATATTGGAGAGACCCACAGGGAACTGCGTGTTGTAACCTGCCAACTGCCATGCATTTCTTTCTATTTCCTTGTGTTCAGGACCAGGTGACAGGCAGGCTCTTCTGCACAGAGGGTTGTTACCAGCAGGAGGCTCAGTGTCAGTTCATACAAGTCTTCCCGTCTAGTTCTCTTCACTCGGGAATGTGGCCTTCTGCAAACAATGTCAGTCCTGCTAAAGCACAGTTCACGCATCTCCTGTCTTGAGTGGCTTAGGTGCAAGTGGAAAGGTGAGCTCACTGCCACAAATGTCCACATGTTTGATTCAGCTGAGAAGACAGCAGCACTGTGATTAGCCTGGGCATCACTCGGAAAGGGTAACAGAGAACTCAGAAACACAGGTCACATAAATTTATCCATACCAATAACCCAGGCAAAATTTCCCTAGTGATACCTCCCAGCAGTCCTACCTCTTTGCCTTGTTGTCATTCCTAATCCTCTTCCAGACCAACCACTCCCTCCTCCTGGAGCCAGGCCTTCTCTGTACAAGCCTTCACTACCACTTCTTCCCTGCTCCTCTTCTCCTAAATCCCAAGCAACCATTTCAAAGACTATCCAACACCAGCCCAAGCACACCTCTTCCCTTGTACTGCCTTCACATCCTAAGAGAATGTCCTTCATGCTCTTTTAGATGCCTGCTTACCCCACTAAAAGACCTTCCTTCTCCCATTCCCTGTCACCACTTTAACCCTTCTCCAGCAACACACCTCTCCTAATCCCCCATTGTCCTTCTAGGTACACATTTTAATCATGGAAAGAGATAGTAAGGAGAGAATTCGGGGTTAGAAGCCCTTACTTTTTTACCTCTCTCCAGTCCCCAGGATTATGCTGTTGGTAATCCCTTTCAGCTCTTAGCACAGTCCTGTTGTTTGAAACATCCCCAGCTCATCTTCCATTCTCAGTGACTTTGTAACTTCTAACAATGCACTGCTCCAGCACCATACTTTCTAGCATCCAACATTTTCTTTCAACTCAGATCCTTTCCTCCACACACTCTGCTGTAGTTCCCCAGCCTCCAGCTCCCTTTTTCCAGCTTCTTCTCACCCACTGGCATTTTATCATTACTTAGCTTCTCCACTAACATTCCCTTTCTATTAGACATCACCTGATAAACATCTTTTGTTCATTCCTCTGTTGGAGACATCACCTTCATACTGTTCTTTCGTACTTTTCCTGCTCCCTGCATTGCTTAATCCTTCGTGTCTTCCTTCCAACCACCCACCCTACCTTATCAACCAGCGTCATGCTCACCCTGTTCAAGATACAGTTTTCTTCTGTCCACTTACATCTCTTAGAAACTTTAATTACCCAAAAATGTAAAAAATGATGCTAAGGTTTGTTTTTAATTACTCTTTGATCACTGCAGGAATAGCAGAGGAATGTAAAGGTACCAACACAGTTCCTGTGTTTAAAATGGAGAGGCCCTAAGACGAAGAGGTCTATAGGCCAGGTAGCTGACAACTATCCAGTGAAAAATAATGGAAAAACTGATGCAGGTGCTTGATAATAGAGAATTAAAGAACAGGAACGTGGCTGTGTGGAATGCGGCACTCAATGTTCTATTTGATAATAAAGTTGTGTTTGACAAAGTAAATTCATAGTGTTGTGGTACACAATTTTTGTGAGCCACAGCCTACTGATATAAAGAAAATTACAGTATGCTGAATTGATTAAGAGGATGTACTATGCAAAGCCAATAAAGCATGCATTAAGTGAATTGAGAGCTTTCAATGGGCAGAAGAAATAATTGTCAATTGAGAATGGTCTTTGGTTATTTTGGTTAGTTTCTGCAGGGATCAATAGTCGAATTAAAACTGGTCAACATTTCCATCCATGATTTGAAGGTAAAAAAAGAAACCAATGCAGGTACAGCCTTGCAGATGACACAAGCATGAATAGGGTGGTAAACAGTAAGACGAACAGGCCACTCAAAGAGATCTGGATAACTTGGTAAGTTAGGTACATTCAAACAAAATACATTTTCTTACAGTCAGGACAAACATATACAGGTAGGAACACATAGGAATAAAAGTCACCCTTACAGAAGGACTCCTGAAAAACCTGCAAGTCATAGAAAATAAACAAGACTGTGAGAGTTCTCATTGTGTTATTCTGTCAAAAAAGGCTAATGGACTCCTTACAGGGCTAAAGAGGGGCAAATACTCAAGATGGTCAAATCTCCAGCAAAGGCTTCCTGCTGGCCTTAATGGGAGTGTGGGAAGTAGGAGAAAGTGATCAGCATTTGATGCCTCACAGGGCAGTCCTGGGGATGGCACCACATTTACAGGCAAGCTGGAAAGATGGAGACAAGTCAGAAAAGAACCATGGTGGGGCTGTGGTTTAAGGCTGTAAGAAAGTCTTCTTAAAGAAAGTAATGAGCCAGGCTATCTAAAACAGGAACACTGAACAGTGATTTGGTTATGATATAGAATCCTGGGAAGAAAATACCTACTACTAATGACCTGTTTTAATTTGAGAAAGGCCCAAGAGCAACCATGAGAGGCTGGAGCCAAACACATTCAAGTAAGCCACAACACTGCAGTAGTGAGGGTTCTTACCTACTGAAAGAGACTGTCATACAAGGAGAGGCTGAGAGAGCTGGGACTGTTCAGCCTGGAGAAGAGAAGGGTCAGGATGTATCTTATACTTCTTTATACTTTCGGGCACAAGTATAAATTGGGAGAGGAGTGGCTGGAGAGCAGTTCTGCAGAAAGGGATCTGGGGGTGCCATTTGCCTCAATAGGAGTCAGCGGTGTGTCCTGGCAGCCAAGAAGGCAAACCGCATTCTGGTGTGCATCAAACACAGGATAACCTGCTGGTCAAAAGAGGTTAATATCCCGCTGAATTCAGTGTTGCTACGTCCTTACCTTGAGTACTATATGCAGTTCTGTGCCCCACCATCTATGAAGGACGTGAAGGTCCTTGAATGTGTCCAGGGGAGGGCAACGAAACTGGTGAAAGGGCTGTAAGGAATGTCCTATGGTGAGTGGCTAAGGAGTTTGGGCTTGTCTAGTTTGGAGAAAAGGAAGCTGAGGGGCAACATCATTGCTCTCTACAGCTTCCTGAGGAGGGAAAGTGGAGAGGAAGGTGCTGAGCCCTTCCCCCTGGCCTCCAGCAATAGAATGCATGGGGATGGTTCAAAGCTACTCCAGGGGAGGTTTAGACTGGATGTTAGGAAGCATTTATTTACCAAGAGGGTGGCTAAACACTGGAACAGGCTTCCTCGAGAGGTGGTCGATGCCCAAAGCCTGTCAGTGTTTGAGAGGCATTTGGGCAATACCCTTGACAACATGCTTTAACATTTGGTCAGCTCTGGATTGGTCAGGCAGTTGGACTAGATGATCGTTGTAGGTTCCTTCCAACTGAAATATTCTCTCCTCTCCTCTTATCAATGTGTATAAATAACCAATGGGAGGGTGTAAAAAAGATGCAGACAGAGTCTTCCCAGTAGTACTGGTTGACAGGGCAAGAGGCAATGTGCACAAATGGAAAACCAGGAAATTCCATCTAAATGTAGGAAAAATGGCTTTATGGCTACGGTGACCAAATATTGGCACATTGGTTGTGGTGTCTCTGTCTTTTGAGATATTTAAAAGCTGATTTGACAAGGCCCTGGTCAACCTGCTCTAGCTATCTCTCTTTTGAGAAGGAGGTTGGACTAGGCAATCTCCAGAGGTCCTGTGCAGCATCACCCATGTCATGATTCTTTGACATTTTTCATTTTGAGGACACTGCAGCTGGAGATGCGTGGGACTCCCAACGTCTCTGCTTTGGAACTGCTCAGCATGGCAGGCAGTGGTCTCAGCAGAGCTGGGCACAAGAGCTGGGCAAAACTGGCTTTATGAGAAAGAATTAGCAAGATTTTAGGGTTTATTCCAAGTTAAGGCAGACCTGAACTGGTGGAACACTGGCATCTTTGGGGAAATTGATCAAACTGTCCAATTCCATCAGGACCAAGGCTGTTTTCTGCAGGAGTCAATCAAGCTGACAATGATCAATGCTGCCTGACAGAGATAATGTGACAGAGGCTATTGGCAGTGAGCAGTGGTGATGACCAGGATAGTTTCTCTTTATCACAGAGGCTTGGGACTTTGGCAGAAGGGGTTTCTGCTGCCAGAAAGCTGTGCAATATGTAGCTAGGTGATGAAATCAGCACTGTGAGCACACTGTACATTTGATGATGGTGCAGACAGGGTTATAATGGAGCAAGCACAGCAGTGCGCACGGTGGCAAAAGCCCTGCCCTGAGCCAAGAGCCCAACGTGGGCTCCTTTTCTCAGTGGCTTAATCATAATTGCAGCTGGATTTCTTAAATCAATTAATAAACAGACCTGTTGA